AAAATTACAAGAATAAAGTCGTAATATTACGAGAATAAAGTCATAAAATTACGAGAATAAAGTCGTAACATTACGAGAATAAAGTCGGAACATTATGAGAATAAAGTCGTAAAATTACTAGAATGAAGTCATCATACAACAACTCGTTTCAGAAAGAAAGCTTGTATGACGGCCAACCAGCTCAACCAATCAGCAAAGGCGAAAAAATAAAGAAGCTAATTAAGAGATATATAGATTTATATCTCGCTATATAATCTAATTTCTACCTACATTTATTTATTTATTTTATTTTTGGGGCAATTGCTTGGTTCTGGTCCTCCGTATTAATCTGGATCGAGAGTTAATCTCTCTGGAAATCAGGCAGCTGAAAGTAGGAGAACCAGAACCGGGTCGGTTCTGTAGATCCAATCAGGTTTTTAGGTCCATAAATAAACCAGATCAGCAGCAGAGACACATTTTGTTAGAATTCAGAGTTAAATCTCTGCTAAAAATTAGTTTTCGAATGAGTGGGAATCAGTCAAGGGTTTAAGTTCTCCTCTGTTGGACCTCAGGTCTCAGACCTCAGGTCTCAGAGGGCGTCCATGTTTCCAGCCGGCGGTGACGGTTTTAACTCCTCCCCTTTACTCACCCTCTCTCCTTTGTCTCCTTTCAGACCGGCGGCTCCCTGAAACCAGAACAGTAGAACCTTAGAAACCAGAATCCTCGTCACGTTGCTCCATAAATGTTCTCTCTGCTGGAATACTCACAGGAGGTCCCAGGTCTCCTGGGTTTCCAGGTTTTCCTGAAGGTCCTGGCATTCCTGGAGATCCTGGAGGTCCCTGCATGGAAACAAAAAAAGCCCCAGAGATGAGCTCCATGAGGTGGTGAAGGCCTGGGCCAGACGCCGGGTCTCAGCGGGTCTTACCATGGGTCCTGGTGGTCCTCGGGGTCCAGCTGGTCCTTCCTTTCCTGAAGGTCCCTGGAAAAAACACAAGGTGTCTTAAAAACCAGAAAATGAGGCGTTCATCCGGACAGAATTGAGGCGGTGTGCACTCACCCTCACTCCAGCAGGTCCCACGGGTCCAGCAGGACCGGGAGCACCTCGGGAACCCTGCAAACACCAGAGATCCCGTTAATCTGTCCCGCTCCGAGCGCTGGAAGCTGGATCTGGGTTCTGAGCCGTCTTTTTCCCAGAACTACATCAATTCATGCTTCAGATTTACAGGCAACCTAATGGCTTCCAGATCCGATTTATAGGCCGTCGGAGCGCTGGGCCGGGCCGGTCTGGAAGCCATTAAGCTGCAGCGACGGTTTGAGCAGGTTCACCTGCGGCTCCATCAGGAGGAGGAGCTTCAGGCCCAGCAGAACCGGTTCTGTTCCCTTTAACCCGTTAACCTTTACAGCATTTTAAAAGGTTCTGCTCAGATCAAACATCACGCATCACGCCCCAGGGGCGGAGCTAGATGGGCAGCCAGAGGTGTCCATGGCCACCATTAGCCGGTCATTGGCCACCGCTACCATTTCCCCCCCTAATACAGCAGTAATCCTCTCAAGAGGAATATTCTACCTCATTAAACATTTTAATTTTTCATATATTAACAATTGCTTGACAACTAAAGCTCTGTGTTTAATAATGCACATCAATATACAAACATTAAAGATGATATATACAGGAAGTAAAACATTTTATATTATATGGGGGAAACAGAAAATGATGTGTCATTGAAAGGTAAAAAACTACTTTAACAATAACTTAAAAATCCATTTAATGTAGATATTAGTAGATGTAAATATTATTTTTATGCAGAACAATTTTTTGATAAAAGTAGGTAAGTAACGACT